AACAATAACAAATATTGATAGTTAATATTGGTTGATATTTTTTTTCATTTATTGAGCTTTGGCTATGAATGGTTGATAACCTAAATCGTCAACTAAATGTCACTTTATGTTCCGCTCAGAAACTCGATTTAATACTTTCGTTTACATATAGGATGCATGTTCGTATGTGACCTGCATGATTATTCATAACTACTCCGGTGGTAATGCAGAGATGAGCGGAATTGAAGAGCTAGATTCTAATTTATGTTTTTGCTCACACAGTCTTAATAAAGTATTATTAAAAATCGGTTGTGTTTTCTCTCAATCTTAGTAAATTAATTTTATTAAAAAAATCTGATGTTTTTTCTCACTTAATCTAAGTAAATAAGTTTGATTAAATAGAAACTTTTTTTTGTTCACTCTACCTATTTGGCTTGAATTGACAGCTATGACGTCAAAATATGGCGCCCAGTCGGTCCTATTCTTAGTTGAATCGCATTATAAAGTTATGAGTCGTTAACGTAGCAATAACGCAGTATATCAGAGTTTTGTATACGTGCAATTGATTCTCATCACTAATATTATTTATAATATTTATATTTTTTTTCACTATTTTTTTTATTACATTTTTTTACAATTAATTGATAACAATCCAACACAAATCATCATCAGCTTCAATTTGTATAAAAGTAAGTAAATTTTTCGGATATTTCTGTAATTTCATTTCAATGCCCGTTTTTGCGCACATTAACGGCTATTAACTTCAAAAGTAATTATTTAATAAAAAAAATATACAAAACTTGTAGGGAATTCAATCATGAATAACTTGGGTACGACGTTTTTTATCAATTAATGACATTTTTAAGGTTTTATAAAGGAAAAAATACAAACATGTTCAAATAAACAGCAACAATTGAAAAACGGTAAGAGTAACAATAAAAAGCTTGAGAGAAAGAAGTTAGAGAATTTAGTAATAAACAAAAAACACTACATTTTTTCCGTACAGTTAATAATTTAGGAGATATAGTTATAAACGCGTTTTCCAATAAAGTGGCCAGTTGTGACCACCCTACATTCCCCGAATTAAACTTAAGCTTCTTACAATCTACACTTACGTCTGTAAAAAAAAGCTAGAGTACGGTAAAATGTTGCATTTCGATCAAGTATAACAAGTATAAGCTCGTGAAACAAAATTTTAATGGCAACCCCGAAAATACTGAAACTATACTGACCATAAGTTCAATAAATTCGATTGCAACGGAAACTGTAAGTTTTTCATATTGTTATTGGAAGTAGACAATGAAAAAAGAAATTAAATTTATAACAATAAATTTATAATTATTTAAATTTATAATAATGAATTAATTTATATAGCAAAAACTGCTGTTGGATTGGAAATCGAAGCCGAGGAACAAAGGGAAGCGTCAAACTCAAACTCAAAAATGTAAATATTTTATCTGTTTTATACTGATTTAATGGGTATTTCACTACTACACTAGGTACATAGTTTACAATGTTAGCAGTTTGGTTTTTTGTTTTAAACTCAAACTAATGGGATGCATTTCTAGAGCAAAAAAAGTTTATTTTTAATATTTTATATTAGACTTCTTTGCTCCACAAGTTCAATTGACAGTAACTTGCTGATTTTCGTACCATATCTGTGTCTGGATTGGAAATGTATTTCCAGTATTGCCTATATCTGTTTATTAAATGAACTATGAAGGCAAAGACAAAACTACACTTAGTACAGTTTTACTGAGATATTTGATTATTACCAAACATCAATCATCATTAAAAAAGTCAACACTAAAAACACAAGTAAATAAAATATTATTTCTCATTGCCACTCGAAAAAGGGATTTCATTCAGCGATAACAGTGAACAAACTTTTCATTTAATTACTGAGTGAATAAAAAAAAATTTGAACAAACAGAAGTTATGCAAAGCATACATATAAAGTTACAATAATTAGTAATAATCATAATTAATCTTTATTGTCATTTCCAAAACACAACCAATGGGTACTATAAATATATTATTTATTTTCTCACAATAGTAAAAAAACTTGATCCTTGTATCCTTTGCTCCACTCAGGATTCCTATCTAGAATCGTTCGTTGCTACAGTAGGGATCCATCTTAGCACTTCAAATTAACTTTATTTTATAATGGCATTTATTGTATAATCAATAATTGCATATTAAAGTATCAATTTGGTAAAGCGCGCTATACTGAACATCGCCGCGTCGATGTCTCGCTCGTGCGACTCGGACACGCTCGCGCCCGTATTTACCTAAACAAGAGAGGCGCAATTTTGTAAAAGGGCTCACATGGCAAGCGTTTTTCAGGCCTTTGTACATAAAAACTACTATGAAAGATCTCTGTTACTTATTATTCCATACGATCCTACTGAAATACAGAAGGATTATTTAGCTTTGCCTAACTCATAAAATAAGTATAACACGTTATGAATTTATTTATTTTTTAAGCATTTAACTGCTAGATGTTTAAATCTAAAGAAAATTTTACTAGAAAAAAATCCACGCGGACTAGGCAGCGGACGGGACTAGAACTTTTTTTTTTTTTCTAGTAAACTTTTCTTAAGTATAACACGTCTCCTGAACGTGATGGCACAGCCAGCACTCTGGATATCTGCTGTTTAGATAGATTTTATGCGACTATAACCATGTTTACCAGTTAGGTTTGACCTTCGGTAATTCAACTATTCTTCGAAGGTACAGGTGTTGAAGAAAGAACAATACATACATAATTTAATCTACTTTCAATTTAGATATTTTGTTTCCTGCTTACAGCTGTTCTTAGTTTTTATAATGTAATTAGCTGACCCATCGAACTTCGAACCGCCTAACAGTCGCGAAATGTCGTTATCTTTAAAATTATACTTGCTATTCGGGCAGGACGAATCCAAATAATCAGAGTTCATTGAAATCGGTTCAGCTGTTCTTGAGTTAAAAGTGGTGTACTAAATATTATGCAAACTAACTCACTGAACAAAAACTATCGTAATAATGTAGATTTATTTATTTTACATAAATCTACATTATTTTGAACTTATTAGTAATACTGCAAGATCATATGCGATCAACAAAAACTAATCTTTATAAAAATTACCCCACTAACATTTGTAACTAAAAAGAACAAAGAAAACAAGAGACTGCAAGTTTTATAACTTTATTAGTAAGGCAGAAAACTTCCCATCATACTGTCTCAAAATATAAATTTATCTGTGTCAAGAAACTATTACAGACAAGTACAAAATAATGTGTAGAAGAACCACAATATTGAGCTTTTAACAACAGTGTGTAAATATGTAAACATTTTTCTTACAATCAACAATAATAATAAATTGCTTAAACTTCATAATCGTTACATATTTACATACATTCAAAACAATATTGTGCACAGACAATAAGAATAGAATATTTAAGTCAGTTCAAATGTTGAAAAACATCTGAAAATTAATGGTTAACTTAAATACATACACATAATTTATATCACGCAAAAATAATATTGATACAAATTCTTGTAACTGCAAAAACATTATTTTTCCAAAGAATTGAGAATATAATTATAAAGACATTCACAATTACCTACAACCAAACATTGCAATTTTCATCAATTTCAGAAAGATAGAAAGTTATTTTTAGTGTAAATCTAAACTACAACATAACATCTTAATTATGTATGAATTGGTGTATGTAAAATGATCATCCTGATAATTATAATGAATGCAGAAATTATTAGGTTGAAGCAAATTAACATCTGGAGATTACAAAATATACATATATACCGAAAACATATATTCACAAAAACTACAAAAACACCAGCAACAATAGCATTTTATTGAAACTTTAAAAATAACAGTCAAATGAACTCGATCATATTGACAGTGGAAAAGTTAAATCGTTGAAACACCACTTTACAGAAATGAGGAACATTTTTTTTTACAAAAAGTCATAACTTATTGTAAATGAGGAGTAGTGCTATGAAAGTTAAAAAAAAAGATAATAATAAAAAATATTTTCTCAATATCTTAATGTAAAAATCAGTCAGCCCACCATACATTTCTAGCCAAACAAACATCCATTATTGATTGATCGTGCGATATTGGTTGACAATCACCAAAATTGATGTCTCTTCAGTTTATGCACTATAAATTAAAAAATATATATACTTGCTCAAGTGCCAAAACAGTGCTCATTTCTGAATGAAACATAAACAAATTGATGATGAAAAAAAACTGACTACAATAATAAATCATATTTTCGACCAGTGATGATTAAATGATTTTGCCTTTCCATTGTCGATGTATATGATGCTGGTATATACATTTTATATAATAAACACTGTTTTGTTTAAATAACCATTTTATATCAGCATTTAAAAATACTTTGATTTTAAACAATCAAGTTGATTAAATAACCATTTTCTTGCTTTATACCATCAAGGTAGCAACACAATATAGTTTATTAATAAATCAGATATTCTATAGCACCTCACATATGCCTAATTGTAACTATGTTAAAGTATAAAATTTGAACACATTAATTCTTAATACTTTTTAACAGTGGAATATTTGAACCATATCTGTTATGGTTTTGGTTTATATAGTTTTTAGTTTATAAGTCCCTATTGAGACCCAAAATGTTATAAAATTGTCTTTGGGTGGGGGCGCTGGCAGCTGTGCTGCAGTTTTTACTATTACAGCTGTCAATGATTTCCTTTTAACATTAGAATATCAATTAATGCATCCACTGATTGTTTTGAGGGAACGCTTGTAATTTGGAGTGAAAATAAATAACGTAATTAATATTATAAACATTTGTAGCACAGTATTACTATATAGGTTCATTTACCAACTTTAACATGTATCTATGCATAATTAGTTGTAAAAGTTTAACTTGGGGCATTATGTGGGAATTGACACCATTTAATCATCAAATCTATGATAAACCTATATAAGTAATCTTAACTAAAAAAATGTACTTGCTATTATTTAATATGCTAAATATTATTATGCTTCAGCAATTTTTGATTTACCATTTAACTTTCCAAGTTGACCAAGCATTAAGACCGTGTTAATTAAGTTTTCTGAATAGATACGCTGGTTTGTTTCCATTTTGCGTAGTTTTTGCACAACATATTTTGAAAAGAACTCAAGTTCATTTTCATTGCCCTGAGTTCTTGAATCTACCTCTTCAAAGCTTCGTTTACGCTTAGTACTCTTTGGGCTTGTTTGTGTGGTTGATGTTTTAGCTTTACGTCTGGAGTTCTCATTCTTATCATTTCCACTACTATCACTATTCACAAAAGCTAAATTCAATTCTTCACCTAAATCATTGGCCTCTTCTTCATTCAGGTGAATAGTTAAATCATCTGGTACTGTCACCATAGGGACATGGTTATCTGAGAATAATGGAGATGGTAAAAAGGACACCCGTTTACGAACTTTGACAACAGTGTTTTTAGGCTTAGACAACTCTTCGGTAACAGCAGCAACTGTATGTCTACGGCTGACTTTATCTTTAATTATTTCATTGCTGTGTAAACGGCTTCCTGACTGTTTATTGCTCCAAAAGTTTACTTTGATTTTAGGTTTAGGTTTGGGTTTTTGTTCTATTTTTGGTTTATTCAAAACAGTAGGGAACTTATAGCGGATCTCTTCATCTTCATTATTAATTTTTTCAGGTTTTTTAATGGGTACAGTGGACTTTTTCAGTTTATTAAAATACTCTGTATTTAATTTATATTTTACATTATCATCATCAGACTGGTATCCATTTCGGCGATTTGACGATTTATAAACTCCGGTCTTCATTGTGCAGAATTTTATTTCGTGGTTTCTGTGTTAATTCAAGCTTATAGCACCTGCAATGTAAAATATAAGGTGGTTTCAGTGGATCTCTTTAAAAATCATATCGTATAACGAACTTATTTAAGTACATAGGTATACGAATGGGTATTAGTCATTTCACGAGGTAACACGAATAGGTGTTAGTCATTTGACAACAACTTTTGGTTTAGTCCGATTCCCGCCTAAACATGGCAAGGCCAAATTTCGCTTAAATTAATAATAACACAAGCCATTACTGAATCGTAACCTTATTAACGAAACGGTATTTATTTAGTAAAACATTATTATAAAATTAGACATGTCCTTCGCCAGTAAAATGTAATTCGAGATAATACTTTTGAGGTTATATTGATAATGTCTTTTATACACAACATTCCCAATTGTCCTCCAAAAGTATAAACCATTGGATTAGGTACTTACTCTGAAATAATACATGATATCTAATGTTTTCCAATGCTACATTTCTAAAGCCTAAAGGAGTCGTCATCACTGTCATCGATGGTTCGGTAAGTTATGAGTTTGCTATTACATAATCATAAAATTAATGGTGCTAGTACTTACCTTTATAACTAGGCATGGTTATCCATTCAAAACACATTCACATTTAGTTCGATGATACAAAAATAAATAAACTCACGACTACAAACACGACACACTGTACATTGGTTTCACGATGACGCGGAGTAGTTACATATATCTCCGCAGCACGCAAGTGGCGCTGCTATGGGTTGCGTGCGCCGTGCGCGGGAAGTTTACCGCAGCGTTCATAAATTTTTATTTTGGTATGATGGTATTTTCATTACATTAGGATTTAGTTCTGCACATGCTGCATTATCATGGTTTTTAGATGTAGTTCACTATGAAAATAATAAAAATAAAAGGTGCGTGCACTAAGGGAGGTCATAGTTGAAAACGTAGATTTCGTATACCTACATAGAGATTTAGCCAGACCTTTTTCGAAAATTCGTTCGAAGTCAAACGCTACAACCGAATGTGGGCTCACAGATGAAACGCCTCAATTACCATATTACTTTATCTGATCAATTTAAAGATTTTCATGAATAGTAATATTTAGAAGGTAATTTATAGGACAACGAACAAAAATTTGAGCCCTGCTGAGTTACTACAAATAAAGAAAATCAAAACTGTTGATGGGCCTTACCCCTCAGTTCTACTCTATTGCTACAAATTTGTAGTTAAAGCTAAGTTTCTTTAGCAAACTTTAAATTTTAGCAGAAATAGTCAACATGCTGCCCCGTGAGTACGAGGTTAATGTATTCTACCTGTACAGAATAATAGGCTATCTATAGTAAGTGGGCCGTTCAGTTGAAACGTTCAAAAACGAATTAATGAGAAACCTCGGCCCAACTCATTATGCTGAAAATAGTTGATGCATTTTTAAAGCACAGAATTTGTAGTTAAGATTGAATTCACATATTATTGCTTTAAGTAATATTTAAGGAATATACTGGTGTTGATTCTGGCATGATTCTCTAAACTTAAAACTAAATTTAACATCAATCCCTCCTTTTCATTCTGTATAGAGAATAACAAGGACAGACTATTGACAAATTTAAGTTTAGGTTTAGAGAAACATGCCAGAATCGACATCAAAGGTTTTTTTATTTATCAGCTATGATCACATATATGGTGACCACAATATATTTATTATTTTAGGACACTCTAAAGGAAAGTAAACTACATTCTTGAAAATTGTTAATTAACTATACCTACATAAATAATGGTGATGATAAACTAAAATTGGACTGTTAAATTACTGAAAAAAAATGGTTATCTGTAAAGTCGGTTTACGGACGATGGTTTTACGTGATAACGTCATAACCTCTTGGCAGTCCATTGCCCAACTTGTTTGATGTCGTCGGTCCACCTGGTGAAGGGTCTACCAACATTGTGCTTCCTGGTGCAAGGTCGCCATTGTAGCACCTTGAGTTTTCGTCGTCCATCTGTACGCCGAATAATGAGCCGTGACCATTGCCACTTCAGCATGGCCGTCGGTTTAGATATGTTGGGCACTTTTTTATTTTTTTATACACTTATTTATTTATGACATTTTAAGTTGATAATGGGTTAATTTATATTGTGATGTAGAGAATTCGATAGTTGGAAGAGTAGGCCCATCAGAATCCGAGGCCGCGTGGAGATGCAGAAAGGGAGGTCGAATGGGTGGGAAAGACAGTGAGAGGAGAGGACGGTTTATTAATAGTGAGAGGTGAATGGAAGAGGAGAGGAAACGGAGAGGTATTAAGGATGGGAGTAAGAAGAGGGTAAGCGATGAGTTTTTTAACAATCTTGCATGAAAATCAGCCATTTACGAAATACATTAAATATTATGTGTCTCACAGACAGGCGCACTATGAAACACTTTAAAGTTAATGATAAAATAAACAAAAAGTTATAAAAAATATAAATAAGAAAATATTAAGGTCACATTTTCAATAAGAGTTATAGATTTCAATAGACAATTAAATTAATAAGTACCTACCTAACAATTACATATTATTTATACATGCCGCATGCAACTCAAGGCGACGACTGCCGCTGTGCGCCGGGACTATCGGGGTCAGTGCTTGGTGGCCATGATAAAGGGAAAAGGAAGAGGGGAGGGACTATAGGAGAATGCGCCTGTGGTTCAGGGGATACAGTTGGTGTAGCAGGCCCTAAACGGCCGATGGAAGGAATGAAAGAGGTAGAAGAAGTCGGGGAAGAGGAATGAGAGAATGAAGGCAGGGAAGTCTCGTTGAATGCCTTAATGTTGTCATATATATAAGTGACTAGCAAACCCAGCGAACTCCGTTTCGCCACCAGATGGCTTCGTTTTATGTAACATTTCGTTTGGTGATTAAAAGAAGTTTTTTTTTTTAGTTTTTCCTAAATTTTCTTTGCTATAAACCTCACGGAGCCCGAGACCTTTCCAACGAATGCAAAACCCTGGAAATCGGTTCGTGCGTTCTGGAGTTATAGCGTCAGGAAGGAAAACCCGACTTATTTTTATATAGTAGATAAAACGTACCACGGACTCAACCAGCCTACTGTGTCGACTTAGATCAGTTAAGTTGAATGAGTCCTGGACCTTATTACCATAGAGTGCTACATGCGAGTGGCACTGCGAGGTCAATCGCGGGCACTCGGTCTGAAGATGAAAAGCGAGTAATGGAGTCACAAGGGCAGGAATTCGTTGAAGTTATTAAGAATTTATGAAGGTAGGTTCTATGCGCACCATGGCCTGTAAGAAATTGTGAAAGTTGGAAAGAAGGTGTCGATAGAGATCGGAAGTCTAGTATATTCTGGAGGGAGGGAAACAAGTTTCTTGTATGGCTGCCCTGGGGATCATTTCGGTAGCGCTCTTCTCATTCTTTTTGGGCCGGAGTGAGGCGTTTGACAACTCAGATGGAGTAATGCCAGTAATCTGGCGCGCGTCTGAGAGCTGCCGCCGCCCAAGCCTCCGCATTCACGCGTTAGTTACCAGGAATACTCGTGTGACCCTTGACCCAGAATCGTATCTTGCCGATTGGTTTATGATCTGTAATAGCCTTATGGATAAGGGTCACAAGGGGCATAGTACTACTACGCTGTTGCAGCTCCTGAAGGACAGAGAGCGAGTTGGAACAATTCAGCGCGTCCATGTACTCCCTGACGACGGCCAGCTGACAGGTTCCCAGAATGGTAAATAGCTCAGATTGGAACACTGTGCAAACTTTGTGCAACTTGTACTTTTTAACTGTGATGGTCGGGCGCGCGTCAAGATCGACATAGACAACAGCAGCTCCGACCTTATCGTCATCCTGTTTACTACCATCTGTGTAAATCTGCACAGTGTTCTTCAGGCATGCAAAATTAATCCCCTCTGGGATGGTAGCAAATGCGTAATCGGGTGAGATACGGAGAGGTGGATGGGGCAGAAGGGGCACGGGAATAAGAGATTCCAAGGGCAGGCCATCAGGGAGAAAGATGGATGATGTCGGGTACTTTAGCTCTTCTACGGATTTCCTCACTCCTGATTCGATCACGTAGAGAAACACCGCTCATAGCTCTCTCCATCGCTACTTCACTCTCTCCACTTCTCAGCTCCGTATGTCATCACTGGTAACATGTACTGTTCGAAGACCTTGGTCTTCGGGCCCTGAGGTATTTTGGAGGAGAAGACATTGCGAAGTTTCAGGATGATGTTACCTACGTTGCTCATAATATGATCAATATATCTTATAATTTTTATTATTTTTAAAGCATGTAACTGCTTGATGTTTAAATCTAAAGAAAATATAACTAGAAAAAATTCCACGCGGACCAGGCAGCAGACGGGACTCGAACCCGCACCCTTCGCAATCCGGGCGAATGCACTGACCAATTATGCTACCGCGGTTATATTTTCTTTAGATCAATATATCTGATACATTACATTGTACGTGTTATATATTTATGATTGATTATACCTGTATCATAGAGAAATAATAAAATATTTTGGTTAAGCATTTTAAAAATTTTGTCATTAATAAAATAAGTTATTATTACTCTATTGAGAGATTTATGGAGAGATTTGGCTAATAAGAATTAGTTGCAAAATACTTTTTAGGATAAAATGATAGTTGTCGCCTTGGTTATTTCCTTTCATATTGGCGTAACTACCTACTGATTGCGACATCTGTTAAAGCAGTCACTGTCATGCTAGAGGAGTCACACTACGCTTCACTTACTGTCTGACTAAGAATGAATACGAGTAAGACAAAAATAATGTGCAGTAGGTGCCTGTCCACATCTCCACGGCTCGACGTCGTTAATGTGGCACGGTGCGGTAACGTTGCACGGTGCGTTGAGATACCGTGCAAAACTGGTTGTAAATTGGAACGATAAGTCAACGTACCGTGCCGCGTTACCGCACCGTTCTACGGTGACGACGTCGTGACGTGGAGATGTGGACAGGCACTTACACCAGCTAACAGCATGTTACAGTACACGAATCCATAGGGGTTGTCTTCGAGTATGTGGGGTACTTAGGATAGACTGTCACGACTGTCGAAACAGATGGCTAGACGAGGATGATTAAGAGAAGAATCCAGGTGGGTTGGGCAGCTGTTATTTAGCTTGCTGACGTGCTGAAGAGCAGACGCATCCTCATCTACCTTATGATACAGGAACTTGCAGGACCAGATTTAAGACAGGGCAGGTTGTGGCCCGGAGCCCACAGGGGACAACAGAAAAAAAACGATGATCGATCGATGATGTCGATACTATTACGGAGCTGTCAAAATTCGTGCTTTCGTTTCGTTCTGGACACTTACGGTGAAGCTAGTGCGAAACTTCAGATAAACCAGCGAGCGACGGAACGTGCGATGCTGGAATCGCGCAAGCGGGTCGTATCCCTAACCAGGACATCAGGGAGCGCACTAAAGTGTCCGACATCACATAATGGTGGCTAGGTTGAAATGGAGATGGGTGGGTCACTTGAGCAGGAGAGGTGACGGCCGATTGACTCGTAAGGTTGCCGACTGGAGACCAAGAACTGGCTGAAGAAAAGTGGGAAGGTCATTCCAGTGCATAGGCACTGGACTGATGACATCACTTAAATAGAGGGCCAGGTCTTGGATGCGCGTAGCGAGGAATCGGGTCGCGTGGCGAGAACATGAAGAGGCCTATACCCGACAATGGATGAACCCGGGCTTG